TAGATTGGTATCTAAAATATCTGAAAATGCCAAGCATTAGAGAGGGTGTAGGTGCCCAATATCTCTTACCTATTGTTAGTGGGAGTATAAACTAGTGAGGTCTGATATTACCTCTCAGTGCTGAACATCCTCATACTTTGAGATCCATCAGTTTGTGCCCAAGATAAATTGTTGAACTTGTACCCCAGGAGGGTATGTTCATAGCAGCATTGTTCAAAATAGCAGTCTTGCAATAACCCAAAGTGCCCATTAGTGGAAGTTTGGAAAATAAATTGTAACAAACAATAGAATGTTATTTTGTAGTTAAAATGAGTAACTACTGTAGTGTTTAATAATATAGTTGAAGCTTAGCAATAAGTGAAAACAATAAGTATCAAAATATTACATATGACATAAGGGCTTTTGTAACAGTTGAATTCAACTAATACATACATACACATACTTTTAAGAAATATATACGTGTATATATATTGATACATAGACATGTATATGTGTGTGCAATACAGTCTTAAAAGGAGAACAAGGGAATGATGATACAGTATTTAAAATAGGAGCAGTTATTTAAAAATAATTAACTGAATAAAGTGAGCCATGAATAAAGTGAGCTGCAGATGGTGATTGTGGCCATGAAATTGAAACATGCTTGCTCCTTGGAAGAAAAGTTATGACCAACCTAGACAGCATCTTAAAAATCAGAGACATTACTTTGCCAACAAAGGTTTGTCTAGTCAAAGCTATGGTTTTTCTAGTAGTCATGTATGGATGTGAGAGTTGGACTATAAAGAAAGCTGAGTGCTCAAGAACTGATGCTTTTGAACTGTGGTGTTGGAGAAGACTCTTGAGAGTCCCTTGGACTGCAAGGAGATCTAACCAGTCCATCCTAAAGGAAATCAGTCCTAAGTATTCATTGGAAGGACTAATGCTAAAGCTGAAACTACAATACTTTGGCCACCTCATGCGAAGAACTGACTCATTTGAAAAGACCCTGATGCTGGGAAACATTGAGGGCAGGATGAGAAGGGGACGACAGAGGATGAGATGGTTGGATGGCATCACCGACTCAATGGACATGAGTTTGAGTAAACTCTGGGAGTTGCTGATGGACAGGGAGGTCTGATATGTTGCAGTCCATGGGGTTGCGGAGTTGGACATGGCTGAGCAACTGAACTGAACTGAAAGTGAGCCATACATGGGCCAATGATGAGTGCATGTCATGAAACAGGAATTAGAGATAAATGATAATATAGTAATTCTTTAAGAAATGGGAATACCAGACGACCTTACCTGCCTCCTGTGAAACCTGTATACAGGTCAAGAAGCAACAGTTAGAACCAGACGTGGAACAATGGACTGGTTCCAAGATGGGAAAGGAATACATCAAGGTTGTATATTGTCACCCTGCTTCTTTAACTTATATGCAGAGTGCATCATGGGAAATGCTGGGCTGGATGAAGCACAAGCTGGAATCAAGATTGCTGGGAGAAATATAAATAACCTTAGATATGCAGATGACACTGCCCTCATGGTAGAAAGCAAATAGGAACTAAAAAGCCTCTTGATGAAGGTGAAAGAGGAGAGTGAACAAGCTGGCTTAAAACTTAACATTTAAAAAACAAAGATCATGGCATCTGATCCCATCACTTCATGGCAAATAGATGGGGAAACAAAGGAAACAGTGATAGACTTGATTTTCTTGGGCTCCAAAATCACAAGTGGTGACTGCAGCCATGAAATTAAAAGACACTTGCTTCTTGGGAGAAAAGCTGTGACCAACCTAGACAGCATATTAAAAAGCAGAGACATTACTTTGCTGACAAAAGTCTATCTTGTCAAAGCTATGTTTTTTCCAGTAGTCATGTATGGATGTGAGAGTTGGACCATAAAGAAATCTGAGCACTGAAGAATTGATGTTTTTGAACTGTGGTGTTGGAGAAGACTCTTGAGAGTCCATTGAACTGCAAGGAGATCAAACCAGTCAATCCTAAAGGAAATCAGTTCTGAATATTCATTGGCAGGACTAATGCTTAAACTGAAACTCCAATACTTTGGCCTCCTTATGCGAAGAGTCGACTTGTTAGAAAAGACTCTGATGCTTTAAAAGATTGAAGGTAGGAGGAGAAGGGGATGACAGAGGATAAGATGGTTGGATGGCATCACGGACTCAATGGACATGAGTTTGAGCAAGCTCTGGGAGCTGGTGGAGGACAGGGAAGCCTAGCATGGTGCAGTCCATGGGGTTGCAAAAAGACAGACACAACTGAATGACTGGACAACAACAGCAAGTAGAAAATGATAATAATAGTGGTAGTAATAGTAATAAATTTTAATTATAAGAAGTTCAGCAAAAGAAAAATGTGGGGTATCCGGAAAGTGTTTAATTGCTATACCTGATGTCCAGGAATGGTTCCGTAAGGAAGTGACTATTGTGCTTAGCTTGAGGGATGTATAGTACCTAGTCAGGTGACAAGGTCAAGGAAGAAGACTTCATCCAGAGAGAACAGCCTGGGTCAAGGCCTTAAAGTGGGGAAGGAGTGAAGTGAGTTCAAAGGCCTGCAGTGTAATGGTGTGGCTGAGTACAGAGGGAAAAAGGGACAGAATATATAAGATGATGCAGAGAGGTAGGTGGCTTGCGACTGACTCGTTCTAGGCATTTTAAAGGATTTTGGTTTTATCCTAGAATAGCAGGAAATTGTACAAGGAGTTTATACAGAATTTAGTTTGATTCTTCTTTGCTCACACTTTTGTTTCTTTGGGGTTAATACCTAGATTACAAGGTACATTGAAATATATTCATGTTTCAAGATTTGGAGTATATACTGCCAAGTTGCCCTCAAGAAAGCTTGTAAAATTCACTATTCCACCTGCAATCTGTGATGTAGCTTAATTCTACAAACTCCAATGTTGGGCAGTAAATGTTAAAAATATTTCCAGTATAGATGGATAGTGACATGATTGCTGCTTTGTGTCTATTTTATTATGAATATTGAAATTTACACATGTATATATGCAGTTTTTCAGATTGTATTTCAAAATATTAAAAATATTTTCATCAATATTAAAAATTTTTTATCCTAATACGTTTTCTGTTATTTCCAAAGAGGATTATAGCATTTTAGTCAAATGATTACGCTAAACAGGCTGTTCAACTTAGAGAAAATGTGAGTCATTACCAAGTAAAATCTCAACAAGTTTGAAGTAATTGAGCTGGTAGCTTACTTTTTTCAGAGTCTACAAAAAATTAAATTTTCCAGAAATTTTCTCAGTTTGTTGTTTCTTGCATCCTACTCAGTCTCTCTGGGTGTTCTTTTCTTCTTCCTGAAGTACATTACTTAATGACTTTTTCAATATGAGTGTGTGGGCGATACATTTCTTAATCTTTGTGTGTCTGAAACATCTTTATTTTGCACTTATTCTTGGATGATAGATTTGTTCCCCTTAATCCTTAGAAGCTGTTTCTCCAATATCTTCTGATATTTATTGTCTTCTGGTGTCTATAGTGTGCTATCAATCTTATAGTCAGTCAAAAAAATCACTTTGTCTTTGGTAGCTTTTAAGATTTTATCTTTATCTTGGGTTATATGAATTTCACCATAGTCTGTTTAGTTTTACTTATGCCACTTGGTATTCATTGACTACTTTAAAACTCATGTCTTTCTTCAGTCTTAGAAAATCTACAGCACTCACACCTGAAATATTGCTTCTTTGCCATTCTCTCCATTTTTTCTTTTGAAATTCTTCAACCTCCCTTTGACTTATGTTAGCATCTCTTTGCTTTTCCTCTATCTTTCTTCACTATTTTTTCATGTTTTGCATCTCTGTCTGGCTTTGGTGCATTCTGAGCAGGCTCCTTGCTACTTTCTTATAATTCACTGATTTTATCTTCAATCATGTTTAGTCTAGAGTTTGTCAGGTCTACTAAGAAAATTTTAGCTTATTTTTAGGATTTCTAATTTTTTTCTCTGAACCCCTTGTTCTTTTTTTATCTCTACTTAAAAAAAAAATAGAGTTCTCTTGATGGATGTTAATCTATCTTTCATTTTTGAGTAACTAACATGTATGTATTTTAAGGTCATTTGGTCCGAGGCCATACATGTGAGTTGAAGGAAAGCTGGCAGGAGTAAGAACAGAAGCCCCAGGAGTCCAGGCTCATGTAATTTACTTCTGCCTTTAGGACCATTAGGCTTGACGTCTACATATCCCTTCCCCTCCAAGATGGCGTCCTGCCCATGTGCCCACGTCTGTGGCTTGGTGTTCGTAATGGGCTGCCCAGATTGCCTGGTCCCCCAGTGACCCCTACTTAGGCGTGTCGTGTCTACTGAAGCCCAGTAGCAAGCTGGCAGGTCTTTCTCAAAGCAGGAGTGATTGTGTCGGAACAGGACATGACTTTGCTCTCAATTCCTAGGAGGTCATTCTGTGACTCCCCTATTAGGCTTTGACGGAGGCTTCATAGTCTAGATTATCTACCACAGATACCTTGCATACCTTTAGAACTGCCAAGTCATAAGGCTCAAGGGCAGAGCACCTGGGACCAGCTGCAGAACTTTCCCGTGCTCTGGAGCACACTCAAAGCACACAGCCTTATAGGTGGTTTGGTAAAATGGGAATAGTACTTTCAGATGTGGTAGAAGTTGCCTCCAAAATCCAGAGACCCCGAACTTGAGAGGTGGAGGTGGCATTATAGAGTGACAGAACACATCTGGCTCACTCTATAAGCTTTTTGTTACTGGGCTTTCACTGCATATTCAGTTTTGTACCAATGAGCATCATAAAGCCTTTGTTGTGTTAGTAGTTACTTCTCTAGTCTTATTGAGCAACATCCCTGTGGTTTAACTTAAAAACCATAATGTGAGCAGCTCTCTGAATTCATCCAAATCTCTTAAAAGGGATGATTCATAGTGTAGTTTCTCTGAGTGGGGTCATACACTTTATAGTATGCAAGGAAGCTTCAACACATGTTTTAAAACTTTGATAAGAATTTCCTTTGTTGTTTATCTGGATAGATGTGACGCCAGCATAGCCAGACTCTCTGCCGAGCACAAAACGACCTATGAGGGCCTCCAGCACTTGAACAAAGAGCAGCAAGCTGCCAAACTTATCTTGGAAACAAAAATCAAAGACGCAGAGGGACAGGTATGACCTGTTTCAGGTAGCTTTTTTTTTAGGTAGCTTTTTGAAAGTGGGTATTTGTTCTTATCTAAGAATAACATGGGTTTAATGATTTCCTGCAGGAGAAACTAGTCAGGGCACTCAGCATAAGCATCCATCATCTTCTTCCTCCTTCTATTTCACTGGAGTGGCCCTTTGTAAGAATGCAACCAAAATGTCAAGATTTGTCAGTACACTCCTAAGTTTAAGTATTCTTTTCCCTCATTCTTCAAACAATATGTTCCAGAAATTCTAACTTATATCTCCAAAACCATGTCTTAGACAGGTAAGTGATAGAAGTGTTGTTTTACAGGCTTTTACAGGCCACTAATCCCAATTTTGGATTCAGGAAATAGTTTATGCATAGGATTTATGGGCTGCCTCATCGCATAGTTTGTATATGGGGAAAGATTAGAACAAAGCTAGAGGATTGGCTAGTTAATAAATTTCAGAGTATTCCACCTTGCAATTCACAGGTTAATTTCTTAAAGCAAAACTCTTGGCATTTCAGAGTTTGTTTTTTGGCTACTTAGAAGTTTTCCTTTGCCATAATGGGGCCTGTCTTCTAGGACTTTCTCTACAATGTCTGTTTTACTTGCTGTTCTTCATTTGAAGAGAAACCACTCCAGTATTCTTGCCTGGAGAATTCCGCTTCATAGTTTTATAATAATTAATTTTTTTACAGAAACAGCTTTGGATCCTTATTGGAGGCAGCTAGGACACAAATATGTCTAATCCAATAAATTGACTAGGTACCCCCTTTTATTAGAATGAAAGAAAAGAAAAAGAAAAAGTGTTAGTCACTCAATCATGTCTGACTTTTTGCAACCCCATGGACTGTAGCCCACCAGGCTTCTCTGTCCATGGGGATTCTGCAGGCAAGAATGTTGGAGTGGTTTGCCCTGCCCTCCTCCAGGGGATCTTTCCGACTCAGGCATTGAACCTGCATCTCTTACATGCCAATGCCAGCAACATTGGCAGGTGGGTTCTTTACCACTAGCCCCACCTGGGAAGCCGAAAAATTATGTTTCCTGATAACTTAGCCTGCATCTGGAGGTAAATCTGAGACCTAATGGGTTTTGTAAGTGATAAGAATTCCATCCTCTATGACTAGTAGCCACACTAAAGATAGAAATTCCAAAGTGAAAATGACTTCTATTTTGTGCCAGCAGGTGGAAGCATTGGTCCTAGGCAGGAGCTGGGCTTGCTCAACAGAGACCTGTAGTTGAGTTCTCACTGCATGATGAATAGTTTGGCAGTGCTTCTGGTCTTGATTTTTTTTTTTTTTTTTTTTTTGGCTGTGCCCTGCAGCTTGTTTGGATCTCAGTTCCCTGACCAAAGATTGAACCTGGACCACAGCAGTGAAAGCCCAGAATCTTAACCACTAGGCCACCAGGGAACTCCCCTGGTCTTGATTTTTGATGGGTTTGTATAAAGAAATGGAAGTGGTGAGATTAGGTGGACTCCTAAATGAAATTTTCACATTAGATTGAATTTAATGCCATGGATGAGAATACACGTCACTAATGTTTTCTGAAATTACTTCTGAAAAGGTTTGATGTGGTATTTACAAGCGAAGTTTCTTTTCCAGATCTCTCAGCTTTTAAACAGAGTGGACTTGTCAATATCAGAGCAAAGCACGAAACTGAAGATGTCCCACAGAGATAGTAACCACCAACTTCAGCTTTTGGATACTAAGTGAGTAATCAGCCTAGAAAAATCTGTTTTGGTTGATGTTCTTTTTACTATAGTTTTTTCCCTTTTGATTTTTATTTATTGTACAAAGTGAAAACCATAATGGAAGTTCACAGGGAAAATTTCCTTGTAGCCTGTTACCACTTTACCTTCCTAATTATTTTTTTTAGTGACTGGATAATAATCCATCTATTCATCCAATAAATATTTCTGGGTCTAGATGAACATGGCCTGGGTGCTGAGAATCTGAAGAAGAACAGGCTTTGTTCTTGCCCTTGTGGAGCTGGTAGTCTAGGGAGTTGATGATTGTTAATGGAATAATCAGGAGAAGGAAATGGCAACCCACTCCATTGTTCTTGCCTGGAGAATCCCAGGGATGGGGGAGCCTGGTGGGCTGCCGTCTATGGGGTCGCACAGAATTGGACATGACTGAAGTGACTTAGCAGTAGCAGCAGCAATGGAATAATCACTTAAATGAGTGCATGCTATGTTATTACTAAATGGTGATACATGCTTTAAAGGAAAGGTACATGGTTGCAGCAGGCTGATTAATGGTTCCTGCAAATATCACCATGTTCTAATTCCTGTGAATATGTTATGGCATTGTTGTTGTTCCATCACTCAACCATTCCAACTCTTTGTGACCCCATGGACTGCAGCACGCCAGGCTTCCCTGTTCTTCACCATCTCCCAGAGCTTGCTCAAACTCATGTCCATTGAGTCGGTGATGTCATTCAACCATCTCATCCTCTGTCCCCTTCTCCTGCCTTCAATCTTTCCCTGCATCAGGGTCTTTTCCAATGAGTCAGTTCTTCACATCAGGTGCCAAAGTATTGAAACTTCAGTTTTAGCATCAGTCTTTCCAGTGAATATTCAGGATTGGTTTCCTTTAGGATTGACTGGTTTGACCTCCTTGCAGTTGTAGGGACTCTGAAGAGTCTTCTCCAACACCACAGTTTGAAAGCATCAATTCTTTGCCGTCAGCTTCTTTATGGTCCAGCTCTCACATCCATACATAACTACTGGAAAAATCATAGCTTTGTCTATACAGACCTTTGTCAGCAAGTAATGTCTCTGCTTTTTAATACACTGTCTAGTTTTGTTGTAGCTTTTCTTCCAAGGAGCAAGCTTCTTTTAATTTCATGGCTGCAGTCACTGTCTGCGGTGTTTTTGGAGCCTAAGAAAATTAGGTTTGTCACTGTTTCCTTTGTTTCCCATCTGTTTGCCGTGAAGTGATGGATTAGGTGCCATGATCTTTATTTTTTAAATGTTGAGTTTTAAGCCAGCTTTTCCACTCTCCTCTTTCACTTTCATCAAGAGGCTCTTTAGTTCTTCTTCACTTTCTGCCATAAGGGTGGTGCCATCTGCATAAGCTGAGGTTATTGATGTTTCTCCCACAATCTTGATTCCAGCTTGTGCTTCATCCAGTCCAGCATTTTTCATGATGTACTCTGCATATAAGTTAAATAGTCAGGGTGACAATATACAGCCTTGATGTACTCCTTTCGTGATTTGGAACTGGTCTTTTGTTCCATGTCCAGTTCTAACTGTTGCTTCCTAACCTGCATACAGATTTCTCAAGAGGCAGGTTAGGTGGTCTCGTATTCCCATCTCTTTCAGAATTTTCCACAGTTTGTTGTGAATCACACAGTCAAAGACTTTAGCATTACCAATGAAGCAGAAATAGATGTTTTTCTGGAATTCTCTTGCTTTTTCTATGATCCAGCAGATGTTGGCAATTTGATCTCTGGTTCCTCTGCCTTTTCTAAATCCAGCTTGAACATCTGGAAATTCTCAGTTCACGTACTGATGAAGCCTAGCTTGGAGAATTTTGAGCATTATTTTGCTAGTATGTGAAATGAGTGCAATTGTGTAGTAGTTTGTACATTCTTTGCCATTGCCCTTCTTTGGGAATGGAATGAAAACTGAACTTTTCCAGTCCTGTGGCCACTGCTGAATTTTGGCACATTAAATGGCAAATAGGAACTTTGCAAATGTGATTAAGGGTCTTAAGATGAGTAGATGATACAATGTTATCTATATCATCATTATTGATGTAACTCTAGAGTCCCTATAAGAGAGAGGCAGGAGGGTCAGAATCAGGAGAGAAGGCCATGTGACAATGAAAGCGGAGATTGTAGTGTGCTGTGCTTTGAAGATGGGGGAGGGGGCCACAAGCCATGGAAGACAGGCAGTCACTAGAAGCTGAAAAAAGCAAGGAAATGATTCTCCTCTCAGAGCCTTCAGAAGGGACCACCTCTGCTCACACCCCAACTTTAGTCCAGTGAGACTGAATTTAGACTTTTGGCCTTCAGAACCAAAAGGGAATAAATGTGTTGTTTTAAGCCACCAAGTGTGTGGTGATTTGTCACAGCAGCTGGGGGAAACGAATACAGTAGTGCTGCTGGGGTGAGTGACAGAGGCCTGGTTGTAGGGCCTTCCTGAGGAGGTGGTATTCTGAGTGAGAGCTGAAGAATGAATGGCATTCACTAGCCCTTGGACTGTAAGATCAAACCTGTCAATCCTAAAGGAAATCAATCCTGAATATTCATTGTAAGGACTGATGCTGAAGCTGAAGCTCCAGTATGTTGGCCACCTGAAGTGAAGAGCCAACTCACTGGAAAAGACCCTGATGCTGGGAAGGATTGAAGCCAAAAGGAGAAGGGGGTGGCAGAGGAGGAGATGGTTAGATAGCATCACCAATTCAATGGACAGAGTTTAAGCAAACTGCAGGAGACAGTGGAGGACAGAGGAGCCTGGCATGCTACTGTCCATAGGGTCACAAGGAGTTGGGTTTGACTTAGTGACTGAACAACAAAGTGAACAGTGCAGTGAGGACCCAGGAGACGGAAGAGCCTGTCATGGGAGAAGTGTGACTTGTAGGATATGCAGTGTAGAGGGGGCTGGGACAGAGCCTGAGGGTGGGGAATGAGGCCAGAGAGGAGGCAGGCCAGCATACAGGACTTCACACAGTCAGGACTTCCTGTTTCTTTCCCTAGAGCAATAAGAAGCCATTGAAGGATTTTAAGCAGGTAGGGTGATATAGTCAAATTTATATTATTTTTTAAAATGGTCTTGATTGCAGTTGGAAGATGGGTCACAAGGGCTGAAGCTGAGTTGTGGATTGGAGGCACTGTAGGCATTTAGATGAGAGAGGTCTGTGCTAGGGGAAGCTGAGCTGTCTAGTTAGGACACTGTATGGTGTTATGCTTTGCATTGTGTTTCAGTGACACTTTAAACTGAATTTGCCCCCAGCGAAACTCATCTGCTGCTCTTCTGCTCAATCATAGAACCATAAACTTTTCCCTGTCATGAATCTTCATAAGCTTGGCAAATTTCCTGCCAAAGCAGAGCCCCTAGTGACCATATATGTTTGTTTGTGTGTGTTTGTATTTGACTATTACAGTTTTTAGAAGATGACTTTGTTAGAGATTTGTGACAATTTTTTATTATCATTATTATTTTTATGGCCACACCATGCAGCATATGGTACCTTAGTTCCCTGACCAGGGGTCGAACCTGTTACCTCTGCGGTGGAAGCTCAGAGTCTTAACCACTGCACTGTCAGGGGAAGTCTCTGGAAATTTTAAATTAATCATTCTTCTGGTTCTTTTATCTCATTATCTCCATGCTTAATACTACTTCAAGGTCATTGATGATTTAACAGGAATTCCCTTACAGAAACCATGTTTCCTTTCCTCTAATTATCTGTATTTATATCATTCCTGAGTTATGTCACTCTTTCTCATAGATCCTACAAGCTTCCCAAGTGCAGAAAGATCTCCCGTCCCTTTCCTTCCTTCCTTCGTACAGGAAGAAAATAAACATATTAGTTTTTTTTTTTCTGTGAACTTTCTCCTTAGCAGATATTACTAGTCAGCAGACATGAACATCTTAATTTTTCTTCTTACAATTTAAAGTCCAGAAGTCTAGACACAAAGGCTGTTCACAGAGGAAAGGTTACTAAGCCTGGGGCCTTTGTGGGGGAGAAAGACAGGTTAGAGACCCAAAGATAGAACCCTAGTTGGATGAACTAGGGGAAAAAAGACATTCTGCAGAGAATTCATAAAGAAACTTACCTGTCAGTCTTGATTCTGAGTAGAAGTGTAAGAGATATTTCTAAAAAATTCTGAACCACAGTACAACCTTTATGTGGATTTAGACTTAGAATTCACATTACCCAACCACCTTGAAGAAACCAGAATAGATATTTTATCTTAGAATGATCTCTATTTGGTAGTAGCCTAAGATGCCTGGCAGAAGCAAATACAAATATGCAGTCTTCAAGGCTCCCCACAGGCAGATTAAATTCTAAGAAACATAAATGTAAATCAGAAATTATAGACCAACACAAGGGGAAAAAAATCACATAAGTAATAGAGTGAGAAGAAGCAACAATAAGCAGAATCAGACTCCTAAATACTGCATATATAGGAATTATAGGATAAAATGGATGTGTGTGTATATATGTATGTATGTGTATGTGTGAGTATTCACACACACACTTTTTGAAAATATGGCTAAGGAATAATAGCTTACCAAAAATGAGCAGTCAGGGGGATTTCTTGGTAGCCCAGTGTTTAGGGCTCTGTGCTCTTGTTGCTGAGGGCCTGGGTTCAATCTCTAGTTGTAGAACTAAAATCCCACAAGCCACATGGTGTGGCCAAAAAAATAAAAAGTCAGAATTGACAAACAACCAAATTGGGCTTCTAGAAAATATAGTCATTGAAAATAAAATGTAACTTCCCTGACCAGGGAGCCTAACAGTGACCCAGGTGCCTTGGAGTCCAGCCTATAACTCTACCTAGAAGTGGAACCTAGCCTATTACCCCACTTGATTGCTTAGCAGAGCCTTTGGCCTTGCCCTAGCAAGGAACTCAACAAATAACACTTCCTAAAAGCAGAACATACCCTGTGACCCTACCTGACTAGGGAGCCCAGTTAGCAATCCCACTCGACCACAAGCACAGCCTGCAGATTCACTTGACTTCACAGGACAGCTGGTGGCCCTGCCTGACCAGGGATTCTGGCCAGTGACCTTCCTTACCAGTGGTGCACAGCTAGCAGGCTGCCCAACTGTGGAGCCTGAAGCCCTATCATGGGGGTCCAACCACCCTACCAGGGAACACAGTGACCCCACCTGACCAGAGGGAATGGCAGAGTCCAGTTAGTGGCTCCATTTGACTGTGCAACCCAGCCAGCAGCCCTGCCTACCCTCGGAGTCCAGCCAGTAGAATCACTTGACCATTGAGCCCAGCCAACAGTCTCCTTCCACCTGTACTTCAGAGCATGGGCAATAGCCCTGCCCAACTAGAGACCTAACAGACAGATATAGAACATCTCATCCAACAGCAGCGGAATACATACTCTTCTGAAGTACACATAGAACATTCCCAGGATAGATCATATATTAGGCAACAAAACAAGTCATAAGAAATTAGATTGAAATCATGTCAAGTAGCTTTTCAAACTAAAGTGGTATGAAACTAAAAATTAATGACAGGAGTAAATTTGAAAAATTCACAAATATGTGGAATTAAATAACACATTCCTGAAAAACTAGTGGGTCAAAGAAGATCAAAAGGGAGATTTTTTAAAATCTTGGAACAAATGAAAATGGAAACACAGCATATATAGACTGTAGCCCACCAGTCTTCTCTGTCTGTGGGATTCTCCAGGCAAGAATACTGGAGTGGGTTGCCATTTCCTCCTCTAGGGGATCTTCCCAACCCCAGGATTGAATCCAGGTCTCCTGCGTTGCAGGCATCTGAGCTACCAGGGAAGTCCACCAAAACTTATGGGAGGCCACAGAGGCAGTTCCGGGAGGAAATCTGCAGTGTTAAATCCTTACATTGAGAAAAAAGAAAGACCTTGAATAAACAACCTGACTTTATACCTCAAGGAATTTTAGAAAAAGAAGAACAAATTAAGCCCAAGATAGCTGGAAGAAGGAAATGATTAAGATAGATCAGAAATAAATGAGAGAATAGTAAACAACAGAAAAAAATTGGGGGAAAATAAAAAAAAGTAACTATCAAGCCAAACAGACAAAACTTTCTCTAGACTAACCAAAACAAAAAGAGGGTTCAAATAAATAAAATTATGAATGAAACAGGAACTACTACAACAGACAACACAGAAATACAGAGGATCATGAGACTGCTATGAACAATTGTATGTCAACAAATTGGATAACTTAGAAGAAACGAATAAACTTCTGAAACAACCTTCTAAGACTGAATCATGAAGAAATAGAAAATCTGAACAGACCAATGATGAGTAAGAAGATTAAATCAACAATCTAAAACCTCTCAACAAAGAAAAAGTCAAGGACTGGATAGCTTCATGAATGAATTCTGTCAAACGTTTGAAGAAGAATTAATACCAATCATTCTCAAACTCTTCCAAAAAGTTGAAGAAAACACTTCCAAAGTCATTTTATGAGGAGCATTATTCTGATAACAAAACCAGATAGACACTACAAGAAAAGAAAATTACTGACCAATATCTCTGATGAACATAGATGCAAATGCTAACAAACCAATTCAACAGCATTTTAAAAGAATCATACACCGTGATCAAGTGGAATTTATTCCTGAGATGCAAGGATGTTTCAGTGTATACAAGTCAATCAGTGTGATACATCACATTAACAGAATGAAGGATAAAAACGATATCATCTCAGATGCAGAAGAAGCATTTGACAAAATTCAACACCATAATAAAGACTCTAAGCAATTTAGAAAGAATGTATCTCAACATAATAAAGGCACATATGACAAGCCCACAACTAATATAATACTCAGTGATGATATTCTGAAAGTTATTCCTCTAATATCAGAAGACAAGGATACCCATTGTCAGCACTTCTGTTCAACATAGTGCTGGAAGTCCTGGCCAGAGCAACTAAGCAAGAAAAAGAAATGAAAGACATTCAAAACAAAAAAAGAAGCAAAGTTATCCCTGCTTGCAGATATTATAGAGAAAACTCTAAAGACTCCCTCAAAGAACTGTTAGAATAAATGAACTCATAAAAGCTGCTGTGCTCTGTGGTCAGGCCCCCAGGTCAGGTGGGTCTCCACAGTTGAGCAGGGCTGCTGGCTTGACTTCCTGCCCATGTAAGACTGAGAAGCTTTGTTTTTGATAATATGACCAGGAAGTGTACTTATCACTTCAATGCATGTTCCATTGCCTGACTTAGTCATATGGCCACACACAGCTGCCAGGAAGGCTAAGTGTAGTCTTAACTAGGTAGTTGCAGACTCAGATCACATTTGAGGGTTTCTTAGTAGGGAAGAAGAGGAGAACAGATATTGCAGAGAATTGGGGACTAATACCATAATCACTGCAGATGGTGACTGCAGCCATGAAATTAAAAGATGCTTACTCCTTGGAAGGAAAGTTATCACCAACCTAGATAGCATATTAAAAAGCAGAGACATTACTTTGCCAACAAAGGTCCGTCTAGTCAAGGCTATGGTTTTTCCAGTGATCATGTATGGATGGGAGAGTTGGGCTGTGAAGAAAGCTGAGTGCCAAAAAATTGATGCTTTTGAACTGTGGTGTTGGAGAAGACTCTTGAGAGTCCCTTGGACTTCAAGGAGATCCAACCAGTCCATCCTAAAGGAGATCAGTCCTGGGTGTTCATTGGAAGGACTGATGCTGAAGCTGAAACTCCAGTACTTTGGCCACCTGATGCGAAGAGTTGACTCATTGGAAAAGACCCTGATGCTGGGAGGGATTGGGGGCAGGAGGAGAAGGGGACGACAGAGGATGAGATGGCTGGATGGCATCACTGACTTGATGGGCATGAGTTTGAGTAAATTCTGGGAGTTTGTGATGGACAGGGAGGCCTGGCGTGCTGAGATTCATGGGGTCGCAAAGAGTTGGACACGACTGAGCGACTGAACTGAACTGAACTGAACCATGGAGGGGGGTACATTTTATTATTTTTATTGTTAAGTCACATATATTCTTGTGTACTTTTATTGTTTTTATAATAAAAATAATTCAAATGGGGAGGCAGCAAGTGTGGGATGTTATTTTAAGGTATTTGGAAAGGGAGAGGACTATAGGAATGGAAATTTGAGTTTTTAAAAAATTTTCTGTTTGATTTAAACTAAGAAATATCTGTATGGGACAAGAGCAGTTTGCAGAACATAAGAGAGAAAGGGATCCAGGCTCCAGTCCTGGGAGAAAAGATGGAGAAGAAGGAGGAGCCTAGAAGAGAGCCAGGCCACTGTGTCCTTTGAGCCGGGAGTAGCCTGGACCTTTTAAACTGCAAACGTCAGCATTTGGAGTGGCTCCGTATGTGATACCTTGGTACTCACGCTACCAGGTCTATATAGGTGGGGGTAATTATCAGGTGCTTTTCTGTTATATCCTCCTCTTCTCCTTCCTTCTCAATTTAGTGCCAAGTGCAATTCTATGAAAAGGGTAAACATGTAATTCTGAGTGAACTGAATTTAATGCTTACATATTTCCAAGAGATTTGATAGAGACTGAGGTTGTTTGATGTCATTTTAAAGTTGTTTTATATCTAACAGCTAATTTTTCTTATTTTAGATTTAAAGGTACAGTCGAGGAACTCAGTAACCAGATTTTATCTGCACGGAATTGGTTGCAACAGGAACAAGAACGGATAGAAAAAGAACTTTTGCAGAAAATCGACCAGCTTTCCTTGGTTGTTAAGGAAAACAGTGTATGTGTTGATGTTCAACCATAACATAGTTAAGTTATTCGGTGAGACCTGCAATGTTTGAATAATACCCTGTAACTTATGTTTGATTTATTTAGCATTACATTAAGCTGTTAATGGTTGTTTCTTGCCTTATAATCTCTTTCCATGGTTCATACTGATTCTTTGTTATAAAGAGACAGAGCACTTTGACTTGTCTTGGTTAACAAAGAAAAATAATAGAAAATTTCAGTACTTTCAACTAAGACAAATCCAAATCAAGATCTTAAAGAACCAAGTTGTCCAGCTGCATTTCTAAATAAAAATAGCAATTACAGACTTCATCTTAGTTTTAATTTCATGGTCTGGTAAAAGCCATTTTGACTAGATTTCTCCCTCCAGGCCCCTCTATCACACAGTAAACCCAGCATGAGGTGTCACAGGGCAACATCTAAACAGAATCCAGTTTTCTTTTCTGTGTTCCTTCTCATTTCACCCCACTCTCCTGTAGGCTTGAGGTTTGCAGAAGTACTCAAAAACCATACCAAGAAAGCCTTGCATATATAGTATTCATATCAGTACTTGGAAAGCAAATGTTTTTTGATTTGGTTCTCTAGCCTGACCTCCCTCTCCTTCTCTTTTCTTGCACTGCTTCCTCTCCCTTGGACTTGGATGGAGCATAAGTGACTGGTGTAGATTGTATCTCTGGCTCTGCTGTTTCTTGATGCCGAGCTGTTGAATTGCAGACTGTGCACTGGGCATATCACGAGATATGTAAGCCCACTTACAGCTTGGTATTTGTAGTCCTGGCCTCTAAAGCTTGCCTGCAGACCCAGATTCTCATAAGAACCAAGCATGATGGAGAGAAAAGGAAAGAAAATGTTCTATTTCAACTATTTCTTTACATGTCTCCATATTTTTATCAGATCTACTGATTGATTTGTAGTCTTCTGTGTCTTTGGTTCACTATTTTTACTTCTGAGTTGGCTTAATAACTAACAAACTCCAGGATAATGGTGACTTTAATATGATAGAAGCTTATTTATCTTTCACATAAAAGAAGTCTGGGTACAGGGATTGCAGGGCTGTTATGGTAGCTCATCAATCCTCAGTGACCCATGATCTTTCTGGCTTAAGTCTCTACCAGTCCTAGAGAGTGACCCTTGCATACATAGTTCAAGATGGCTGCTAGAGCTCCAGCCATTACATCTGAATTCCAGGAACAGAAGAAAGAAAGAGGTTTTTTTTTTATGTCTCAACTATTTTTGTTTTTTTAACTTTTCCTAGAAGTTTTCACATATGTTTATACTTATATCTCATTACCCATAACTTAATCATATGGCTACACCAAACTCAAGAGACAATAGAAAAGGTAATCTTTATTCTGAGTGACCTTATACCCAGCAGAAAACTGGAGATCTGTTATGGAAAAAGGGGAAAGTGGATATTGGGGTGAGCATCAAGCAAACTTTTTGATTCTGTTCTCTGCAGATTGCTCTTAAATGATATTATGACTGATGTGAATGCAATACAGACTCTTTGGAGTAATCACGTGCCATTCTTATCATGGATCTCAGGGAGCCAGTGAAAGGGACATGGAGAAAAAGCTCAGCCAGATGTCAGCCAGACTGGACAAAATAGAAGAGAGTCAGAAGAAAAATATGGAGGTACAGAGGACAAAACAAGAGGAGGAGAAGGTGCATGGACGGATCAGCAAGCTTGAGTTACAGATGACCGAAGACCTGAAGGAAATGAAAGCCGAAGTTGATGCGGGTAGGTCAATAAGAAAACAGCTCTCATGCTTCATTTTCTGTATGATCTAAAAGTCAACTAATTAGTATTCCCCCTGTAACTACCTACAGACCTGGATAATGGAATGTCCTTAGGTAATTTTCCAAGTAGAACTAATGTTGCTTCAACTTCAAGGACATGAAGACAGATAGACCTCGAGAGATAGGCGAACAAACCTAAAATTGCTTAGCTTGCATACATAGCTTTAGTACCATCTGCAGATTCTTTTCTGATCATAACCAAGGTCAGTATGCCTCAGAAATAAGCATATATCTTTGAGAGGCCTTCGAAGGCTTATTTTATCCTGCTGGCAGTATCCCACCATGGCAGTGAATGGTGTTCCTCTGCTCAGAAGCCCACAGGGCTCAGTCTTCACACTTGTTTGGAAGACAGTTGTCAGAGCTGATTTCAAGTTCTAAAGTGCTGCCAGATAAAGGAGGGATTAGATTTTCATTTTAAATATTTATTTATTTGGCTGCTCTAAGTCTTGGTGGCAGCTTGCAGTATCTTTTAGTTGTGGCATATGGTTCCCTGACAAGGAATTGAACCCAGGCCACCTGCATTGGGAGTTCTGAGTCTTACCACTGCACCATCAGGGAAGTCCCAAGAGGGATTAGATTTATACTCTGAACTCTAGAATACAGAACTGGGACCAATAATCGGAAGTTACCTGAAGACATATTATGAAGCAGAAGTATCTACCGTTAGAAGTCTTAGAAAGACACGGGTGCTTTGTGAGCCTGGGAGTTCTTTACTGAAAGTATTTAAGTGAAGGCCATTTGACCATGGTCAGGGAAGAGAAGACAGTCGGGTAGTGTGGGAAGGGGAGCTACATTATCTCCTGATTCCTTCCTGTTCCTCTGGTTCTGTGAATTTTCTTCATGGAGTTGTTCTATTTTGGCCCCGTAAGAAGAAAAGTAGCCCCATCCCAAGAATAATTTTGTTGTAACCACGACGGGGTCTCAAAGAGTTGGGCACAACTAAATGGCTAATACTTATTTAACCATTGCAAGTTAATTATTTTATTTAAGGAGAAGCTGCCATTAAATTTACCAATTTTAGAACTTTGTGGAGATAAAAGTGAATTTTCTTTCTTGGTATTTTGGGCTAGTAGAATATGATATTTGACTATTTCATTGGTGGTTAATGAGATGGTGATAAGAAATACATATGAGCCTTTTAAAAATTAAAAACATTTTCTTGTTATGAGAACAGATTTCTTAGTGGAAAATCTTAAAACACAAAATGTATTTTAAAAAGCCCTTCTATTATCCAGAAGTCTTTTTTATGTATATTATCTTTCTATACATATAAGATATATATATTATTTTGGCTGTGCCACATGACTTGGGGTACCTTAATTCTCCGACCAGGGATTAATCTGGGGCCCTCTGCAGTGAAAGTGTCCAATCCTAACTACGGGTCTGCTAGGGAATATTCAATAAGTAATTTTTATACTTCTTTTTCTTTAATTGTTGCATAAAGAAAATTTTCTGAGAGAAAATTCTAAATTTGCTAAGGAAGACAAGATAATTTTGACATTTATTTTAACATATTATTGACTGGGAGTGTTTTGCAGAAACTAACACTTGTGTCTGGTGATTTGTAATGTAAGTGAATATTGATATGTCTTCAGTCTGTAATATTTGGGTAACAAAAGACATATTAATACCTCTCTGGTAAATAAGATGTTAAAAGCCAATAGAAATACAGAATAATATAAATTTTATTCAGAATTTTTTTTCTATTTTGCTTTTTATTTTGAAGTAATTTCAAATTTATAAAAACCGTAGTAAAGTGAAGTAGCTCAGTCGTGTCCGACTCTTTGCGACCCCATGGACTGTAGCCTACCAGGCTCCTCAGTCCATGGGATTTTCCACGCAAGAATACTGGAGTGGGTTGCTGACTAGTCCAAAAACTATATATCTTTCAATTAGATTCAGCAATTGTTAGCATTTTGAAATTTGCTTAATGTATATGTATGTGTGAATGTGAATGATTATAGTTTTCCCTGAATCATTCGTGAGTAAGTTGCAGGAGCCAGAATACCTTTTTACCCCTTTACTATTTCAAAGTATATACCCTCAGAACAAGGACATTCTCTTTTTTAAAAAGTTTATTTATTTGTTTTAATTGGGGGATAATTACTTTACAATATTGTGGTGGTTTTTGCCATACATCGACATAAATCACCAAGGACATTCTCTTAAACAACTATGTTGTTCAGTCACTAAGTTGTATCCAACTCTTTTGTGACTCCATGGACTGTAGTCTGCCAGTTTTCTCTGTCCATGGGATTTCTCAGGCAAGAATACGGGAGTGGGTTTCCATTTCCGTCTTCAGTGGATCTTCCCAACACTGGGATGGAACTTTCATCTCCTGCATTGCCAGGCAGATTCTTTACCACTGAGCCACTAGGGGAAGCCCTAAACAAGTGTAGTACAAAGTACTATTTATGAAACATTTTTCAATATTCAATTTTTACATTTCACCATGTTTCCTTTACAGCAAGCCATCCCCAGTCCAGGTTCTCGTCCAGAATCACTTGCATCATATTTAGTTACCATGTTTCTTATTTAGTCTCTTTTAATCTGGATCAGTTTCACAGTAAGGTTGTCATCATTAAAGAACACAGGCCAGTATTTCGTGAAACGTCCCACCGTTTGGGTCTTTTTGCTTCTTTTTAATTCGATTCAGGTTGTGTGTTTTGGACAGACATGCTGCAGAAGTGATGTGTCCTTCCCAGGGTTTTTTCTTTCAGTACTTAAATTATATCCTGCCACTCCCTTCTGGCCTGCAGGGTTTCTGCTGAAAGATCAGCTGTTAAGTGTATGGGGTTTCCCTTGTATGTTACTTGTTGCTTTTCCCTTGATGCTTTTAATATTCTTTCTTTGTGTTTAACCTTTGTTAGTTTGACTAGTATGTGTTTTGGTGTGTTTCTCCTTGGGTTTATCCTGTATGGGACTCTTTTGCTTTTTGGACTTGATTGATTCTTTCCTTTTCCATGTTGGGAAAAGTTTCAACTATAATCTCTTCAAAAATGTTCTTATACAATTTCTTATTCTCTTCTTCTGGGACCCCTATAATTTGAATGTTGGTGCCTTTAATATCTTACCAGAGGTCTCTGAGACTATCCTTAGCTCTTTTCATTCTTTTTACTTTATTCTGCTCTTCAGCCGTTATTTCTACCATTTTATCTTCCAGCTCATTGATCCATCTTTCTGCTTCAGATATTCTGCTACTGATTCCTTCTAGAGAATTTTTAATTTCAGTAATTGTGTTGTTTGTCTCTGTATGCTTGTTCTTTAATTCTTCTAGGTCTTTGTTAGCTGATTCTTGCATTTTCTCCTTTCCGTTTTCAAGGTTTCTGATCACCTTTATTATCGTTATTCTGAATTCTTTTTCAGGGAGTTTGCTTATTTCCTCTTCATTTATTTGGACTTCTGTGTTTCGTGTTTGTTCCTTCAATTGTGCAGTATTTCTCTGCTTTTCATTATTTTTTAAAAAAACTTATTGTTTGAGGTCTCTTTTTCCTAGGTTTCAAGGTTGAATTCTTTCTTCCTTTTGGTTTCTCCCCTCCTAAGTTTGGCCCAGTGTTTTGTGTAAGCTTCACATAGGGTGAGATTTGTGCTGAGTTTTTTTTTCCCTCTCTGATGGGCAGGGCTGAGTGAGGTGGTAATCTTGTCTGCTGATGATTGGGTTTGTATTTTTGTCTTGTCTGTTGTTTGGATGAGGCGTCCTGCACAGGGTGCTACTGGTGGTTGGGTGATGTCAGGTCTTGTCTTCAAGTGGTTTCCTTTGTAGGAGTTCTCACTATTTGATACTCCCTAGGGTTAGGAGTTCTCTGAAAGTCTAGGGTCTTAGAGTCAGTGGTCCCACTCCAGAGGCTCAGGACTTGATCTTTTAGCAGATTGAAACTGAAGGACTCTACTTCCAGTAATGATGTCATGAGGTAGTACTGAAATCCCTCCTCCAAAATCAGTGTGAAGAAAGAAAACATGAGCATCCTACTAATGGAGTCACAGAATTTAGCTTCTTGGGTCAGAGAGCACTTATGTGCAGACAGTGCTGAAGTGATCTGTCTTAGCGTGCAGAGCCCAGGCTTCTTCCTGGGGTTTTCTCATCGGGGGCACATAATGTTGGATCCTCCCACTGTTGGTGAAGATAGCTTTGACCCTTGGTTAAAGTGGTGTCTGTCAAATTTCTCTATGGTAATATTTCATGTTTCCCTTTGTATCTGTAGGGAGACACTTTGAAACTATGTAACTATTCTGTTTCCTGTTAACCTTTTATTCCAGTACTTTGAGAATCTATTGATAATTTTTGCCCAAATCAAGCAGTGCTATCTGCTATAGGATTTGATATAGTGTTATTTGTTTTTTTTTTAATATTAACTCTTGTGAAATTTACCCTTTCTTAAAGGGTTTACCGCCATCTATGAAAGCATAGGATCCCTCAGGCAAGTCCTCGAAGCCAAGATGAAGCTGGACAAGGACCAGCTACAGAAGCAAATCCAACAGATGCAGAAGCCAGAAGCTCCCATGTGAAGGGACTCGGGACATGGACTTCAAAGGCGGTTTTGCCAGTGGGGCCAGAAGCTGGACACCTCTGTAGCCAGGCTGTCACTACATTCAGGATTGTTCCGTTTATGGCGTGCATGTGCCAAGAAATGTGTTTTCATGGGTCTAAATGTTTACCTTGAGTCTTGAAAACACTCTTCTTTAAAAGTATTACATACAGTTTTTACCACTTTATTCCACTTACCTAAATTCAAGCAAATAGCCTCCCCTCCCTGGATTTTAAAAGGCTTTTATCCCCTTCATTTTATGAATGAAAAGACTTAACAGTTTCCCTTTGATTCGTGATGCTCTCTAGCCAAGACTTTACTCTTGAAAATGTCATAGTGATTTTTTTAAATTAAGAAACTAATGAATCATCTTGGGAATGTGTTGCTCCTCACTCTAAATTAAGAGAATGTTTTGATGGATTAGAATTCAACCTTTGAGTCCATATTTGGATTTTATTATTGTTGTCTGTGCATTTCTTATATTGGTTCCCTTCTTGTAAATCTTTTGTCTTTTGTAGAGGGAGGGGATTTAATATTTGGGAAAAGAATCTACCACTTATGCAGTGAAAATAGTTTAAAAATTGACAACTGCCATGTAGATTACAAATTAAAATGGAAACTTAAGACAGTTATCTAGATAATGCAAGGCACAATTATCTGTATCAACCACCTAGTTATACCAGGTTTTAATACTGAAAGCTTTTTTCAATTATCCACAGCCTATATAGTGATAGCCATATATTCAATAATGGAATGGTGGTAATAGCTTGTTTATTATGTAATTGATTGTTCATTAATCACATGGGATGTGAAAATTTTTCAAGCTTTTTGATCTCCTCTCTAAATTTTTCCAAAATTGGCACAGAGTGCTAAAGGTTTATATACATTTATTGTAACTGTATTCTTGTGCCTTGGTTTTATCACATCAGTGCACTGTACCCTATAGAAGTTTTGCAGACAAAATAGAAGGCACAATAGTACATCAGAATTATGATGTAAAAACGGGATCCTATGTATTTTTTAAATGTTTTAAAACTTTTATCACTGTTAAGATGTTAATCATTCAGTATCATTAATGGAATAGAAATTCATACTTTTGTATGTCCAGAAAATCAAATTGATACTGCATTTATAACGATGTCAAGAAATGTTCATTTTGAGCAATTTCATAGATGATGGGTGTTTTATTTTCAATCGCCATATTTGATTAGTCATTGGAAATTGGCACCAGTGGTATCTGTTCACCTATATATGTAAAAACTAACAGTGAGACACATGCCGTTCCAAACTGTGAGGGTGCCCAAGAAAAAGGAAACGGGAATACTTTGAAAATTTTAAAAACTTTTTTTTGTCTGCCAAGGACTCAGGAAAATTAAAGCATTTTCTATTTTAGAATAAATTGTAAATGAAATCTGTAACTGGCTATTACTGTTTACCCATATAAATTATGCTGCTAAAGTACATAATAGTTTACCCTCAATGGCTTGACAAAAATTTTGTTTTTAATTTGTACCTGAGAAGTCATACAAAGAATATGTCATCCAACATATATGTCCTTATTTTGCCACAAATCTCCCCATCTCTATTCAGGAAGACTGCTTCCACTTAATAATGAAAAAACAAAAAGGTTAATGCTCTTTTGCAATCAGAAAGTGAGTTTCTCTTTGTGATCGAGTAGCTGTGTTTATATAGTTCTCCTGATTTAAGCACAGACCACAGCACAGACAGCCACGGCTCCTCAAGCATCTCTCTCCTCTGGGGGCCCTGAGGAGGAGGAATCAGCACATGTCACTTCTGGGAGGAGGGGAACTGGCAGGACTAAGGTCAAAGGGTGACGTGACTGGGTGATGCTTCTGTTCCCCACGTCGGGAGTTCGGCAGGGATTCTCCCCTCTGGCTGATTGAAATCACCTGGGCACTTCCAAAAGTGACCAGTGCCTGGGCTGCTCCCCCAGACCAACTAAGTCAGAACCTCTGGAAGGGGATGCAGGCAGCCTCATGTGTCAGAGGCCCCCAGGTGACTCACGTGTTGAGTCCCCAAGCTCCATGTCCTCTCTTCACCAAAGTTTAAATGAGAATCAGCTTCCCTGTACTTTCCTTTACCAGAAATTTGCAATAAAAAGAATAAAACTTCCAAATCAATGTGGTGTATGATTCTTAAAAGCCCTTTTGTGGGAGGTAAATTAGGTAAAATACGGTAGGAAATCTCTTGCTTTCTGGGGAAACATTTTGATGGTTGAAATAAAGTGCTCTGAGTCCTGGCAGCCCTGCTGGGACCTGGAAAGTCGCAGGGAGCTGCTCCATCCTTGGGTCTCCAGAGCTCTGGGTGCCATCTCAGCTCTGGACTAACGGCAGCGGGCAGTTCCCAGCGTGTGTGGTGTGCCCACGTTGCGACCTTGGTGGATATTCGTTCATTTCATTGTAACAACAGTGCATGGAATTGAATACTGTTTGTTTCCCCATTTTACAGATGAGAAAACTGAGTCATGTAAAGGCGAAGCTACCTCTCCCAAATCCTGCAGCTGGTAAGTGGGAGCCATGATCCAATCCAGGCAGCTTACTTCCAGTCTGGATACCTAACCAGTGCACTCCCCTACCTCTATCAAGATACAGCCTTGCTTCCCACATAACTTGGACTTGCCAGACCACTAACTCCAACCCCATCTCTGAGTAACCTTACAGTTCTGCCATCTGAGTCCTTTTACATTTTAATGCTCCAATTCCAAGGGCTTCCCAGGTGGCGCAGTGATAAAGAATTCACCTGCCAATGCAGGAGATGGAAGAGATGCAGGTTTGATTCCTGGGTTGGGAAGATCCTGTAGAGAAGGAAATGGCAACCTGTTCCAATATTCTTACCTAGGAAATTCCTATGGACAGAGTAGCCTGGTGGGCCCCAGTCCATGGGGTCACAGATTTGGAGAGCAGAGCCCACAAGAGAGGCAGTCTTACTACCTTTGCTTGGTCAGATATCTTCCTCTGGTTGTTTCAGTGAAGGTGGGGTAGTTGATGCCACAGGACTATAGTATCACAGGCATTTCATCTCCTGTCTTTAGCTGTCCTAGGTAGTGGCTCTGTACATTTGGGGATGGGTTGTATTGGGTGAGTGCAGAGCAGAGTAAGAAAGACAGATCCCTGTAAATTGTGGTCATCCCAGTAGGCTTTCAGCCTGAAAAAAAAAAAAAAAAAGATCACATACCACTCAGGACATCCTGGAAACTCAGTGGTAACTGTGTGGAGTTTTTCTGTTACTGCTGTGTGAACTTGGGCAGTTCTCTTAACCTCACTGAGCCTCATTTTTCTTATCTGTAGAGTGGATGTTATAACAATTTAAAAGAAGGAGCTGGTTTATCACTTTCAAAATGCTGAAGTAATTTATGCAATATTGGGTATCAAGTGGTGAAGAATGGGCCTGGGGGATTAATATTGGTGGTGAGACAGGAAATATATGGGGGTCCCTGTTTGGTCCAAAGTGTCCTATTATCTGTGGGGACTGTATGGGCCGTGATTAATCTCCAAAGAAAGTGATATCCTAGCCTGAGACAGGAAAGAACAGTACAACCAGGGTGAAGATGTTAAGTACCCAGAATCAGCATAGGGACAATCCCTAAATGTAGGGAAGGGCTGGGCAGATCCTTAAGTTAGTTGGTGTTACCCATGGATCAGAGCTTGGGAAGGACACACTCCAGGTGAGGAAGGGTGAAGGTAGATAGGGAGGCTGAGAGTGCAGAGCCCAGAGTTCTAATCGGGAATTGAGAAGCAGAACAGGCGGGGCTGCGCGTAGATGGCTGGTTGGCATTTGAGACTTGTTTGTATATAGATTGTATCAGCCCAAGTGTCCACTGACAGTTGAATGGATAAGTAAAACCTGGTGTTTGCAGACAATAAAATACTATTCAGCCATAAGAAGGGAGACAGTTCTGACACATGCTACCACATGGACATTATGCTAACTGCAATAAGCCAGTCACAAAAGGGCTAATATCCTATGATCCCACTTGTATGAGGTACCTGTGTACATGCTCAGTCATGTCTGACTCTTTGTGACCCCATGGACTGTAGCCCACCAGGCTCCTTTGTGCATGGGGACTCTCCAAGCAAGAATACTGGAGTGGGTTGCCATTTCCTTCTCCAGGGGATCTTCCTGACCCAGGGATTGAAACTGTGTCTCCTGTATCTCTTGCGCTGGCAGGCGGATTCTCTACCACTGAGCCACCTAGAGAAGTCAAAGTCGAAGGGACAGAGAGTAGCATCATAGTTGCCAGGGGCTGAGGGGTGCGGTGGGGAAAACAGTTAATGTCTAATCCATACAGAGTCTCAGGTGGGGAAGATGAGAAAGTTCTGGAGTTGGATGGTGGTGATGGTTACACAACAATGTGAATGTATTTAATGACACAGAACAGTACTCTTCAAGTGGATTAAAATAGTAAATTTTATGTATAGTTACCACAAGAATATTTTTTAAAAAAATGGATTCCTCAACCACTGAATAAAGACTTCAGGTAAGAGTTCAGCCCTAGCAGTTTTATTAGTCTCAAGTGAGACAGTGAGTCAGAAATACCCAACTAAACCACATCCGAGTTTTTGACCCACAGAAACTACCAGTTAATAAATATGTGCTTTTTGAAGTCATTGCATTTTAGGGTAATTTGTTTTACACAATAATTAACAACACTCTGAAATCTTGACAGAATTATTTTGTGGAAATGTCACAAATTATGTTACAAATTGCATTGTCCACATATATAATCTTGTTAGTATCTTTCAGAGCAGGCAATGACCTTGAAAACTTCAAATACATATATACCTTATCGTGTTTAATCTTTGTAATTACCCTATTAGGTATGTACTATTATTTCTATTTGTGATGGAACTATTATGGAAGGTCATACAGCTAATTAGAGCAGGAGCAGGGATTTGAGTCTTACCTTTCTCCAAAGCCCAGGCTGCCATTTTGCTCCAAGGCTTCCAAGGTGGCCCTAGTGGTAAATAACCCGCTTGCCAGTGCAGGAGACATAAGAGACACAGGTTTGATTCCTGGATCAGGAAGATCCCCTGGAGGAGGAAATGGCAGCCCACTGTAGTATTCTTGCCTGGAGAATCCCATGGACAGAGGAGCCTGGTGGGCTACAGTCCATAAGGTTGAAAAGAATTGGACACGACTGAAGCGACTCTTAAGAGTCCCTTGGACTGCAAAGATATCCAACCAGTCCATCCTAAAGAAAATCAGTCCTGAATATTCATTGGAAGGACTGATGCTGAAACTGAAACTCTTAATACTTAGGCCACCTGATGCGAAGAACTGACTTATTGGAAAAGACCCTGATGCTGGGAAAGATTAAAGGCAGGAGGAGAAGGGGACAACAGGGGATGAGATGGTTGGATGGCATCACCGACTTACTGGACATGCTGCTGCTGCTAAGTCGCTTCAGTCGTGTCTGACTCTGTGCGACCCCATAGAAGGCAGCCCACCAGGCTCCCCCATCCCTGGGATTCTCCAGGCAAGAACACTGGAGTGGGTTGCCATTTCCTTCTCCAATGCATGAAAGTGAGAAGTGAAAGTGAAGTTGCTCAGTCATATCCAACTCTTAGCGACCCCATGGACTGCAGCCTACCAGGCTCCTCCATCCATGGGATTTTCCAGGCAAGAGTACTGGAGTGGGTTGCCATTGCCTTCTCCATTTTTGGACATGAGTTTGGGTAAACTCCGGGAATTGGTGATGGACAGGGAGGCCTGGCGTGGTGCAGTCCATGGGGTCGCAAAGAGTCGGACATGACTGAGTGACTGAACTGAAGCAAGTTAGCACACACATGTGCAAGCCAACACCCACAACATAATGTGATTGGTTTAATAATCCCGTAGCTTATTGGAATCATACTTCTCTCTGGATCTGTGGTCTCAATGTGTCTCCAGACTAGCAGCATCACCTGGCATCACCTGGGAAGTTTTTAGAAATGTAACCTCTGGTGCCCCACCCCAGACCTCCTACTGCATCAGAAACTCTGAGATGGAGTCAGCAGTCTACTTTAACTAAAGTCCTGCAGAAGATCCAAAGCAAGTGAAGTTTGAGGATCGCCGCTCTAGAACTGCACTGTAATACAATAGCCATTAGTCACGTCAACCATTTAAATTTAAATATGTTGTTGTTTAGTTGCTAAGTTGTGTGCAACTCTTTTGTGACCCCATGGACTGTAGCCCACCAGGCTCCTCTGTCCATGGGATTTCCCAGGCAAGAATGCTGGAGTGAGTTGCCATTTTCTTCTCCAGGGGATCTTCCTGACCCAGGAATTGAACCCAAGTGTCCGGCATTGGCACGTGGATTGTGTACTGCTGAGCCACCAGGGAAGCCCAAATTTAAATATAAATTAGTCCAAATTAAATAAATTTAAAAACTCAGTTGTTCAATTGCCCTTGCCCTATTTTACATGCTCAGTAATCACCTCTGTTTAGTGGCTATAGTATTGTCCTGTGCAGATATAGAATATTTATAATGTCACAGAAAGTTTTATCAGACAGCCCTGATCTACAGCAATAATTTCCTCATCTTTTCAACTGACATCTCTGTCCACAACTCTGTACCTTCATTGGTCAGCCTGAAATGAGCTTTGGATCTGGAACTTTCCTCCAGCCTCATCTTTACAACGTTATGTCAGTTGTCCCTGCTAGAGATGATTTCCCAGGTCCTTATAAGGTTTTGTCTCATCTGGCCATTCTGATCAGTAGATACTGCCACCTGGACTGAGTCAAGAAGGATCCAGAGGCTGATGCTGGACTCTACGGGAAGAGCCAAGGCATGTGAGCCAACGGACAGGGCTGCCATCTGGGTGCTGCGCCTCTGACAGGTTCTCACCAGGACATCCCAGGCCTGGAGGATGCGCTGCAAGAGTTTGCCAGCCAGGAGGCTTGAGTGACTCTGATGCCCCCTAGGGAGACAGCCCTGGCAGGCCTCGGTTACTTGCATGCATGCTAAGTCGCTCCAGTTGTTTGCAACTCTTTGTGACCCAGCGGACTGTAGTCCTCTAGGCTCCTCTGTCCATGAGATTTCCCAGGCAAGAATACTGGAGTGGGTTGCCATTTCCTTCTCCAGGGGATCTTCCTGACCCAGTGATGGAACCTGCATCTCTTTACATCTGTTGCATGGCAG